AAAAAAAAAAACGCAATAATTTGTGAATGTGGTAGCCTAAACCATGAAAATAAATGCCCAAAAAGTGATTTCTGATTTAACGGATGAATTCAAAAGAAACCCCGGTGTGCGCAGATCTGATGCATCCGCTTCGACATTGGCTGAACTGGTGTACCTACGTTTGGTTACCTGACGAACAGCCATCGGACTAAGACTCCTGCAATCAAAAATATTAAAATATAGACAAAAAAAATTGCTTTGCTTAAGGATAAAAGAAAAAACTGCTTTGTTTAAGAGCTATCAGTGGTATAGTCGACAACCATATCATTTCCCAAGGAAGAAATTTTTTTTTTCAAATTTTCATGTAATTTAATTTAGATAGAAATCCCTAAATGTATAGATGAACAATACGTACCGCATGATATGCCGTGTGGGACTTGGTGTTGGACTGGGACTCGGCGAATAGGTGATGTTGTTACGCACAATCTGTCTTGTTGATGGTGAGTAACACTGCTGCAAAAATTTGCAAATTTTATGCGAAAATCAATCTGCTGCCAGCTCATTCCTTCATTAAATACTGTTTATGCAAAGCGAAACTCCCGAGCTTCCTCATCTCCTACTTTATCATAGTTTAGAAGTGGCAAAAATTCGCCATGATCAACAGCGACAATTTAAAATCACTGAAGCTCTGCCAGCTGTTTCTATCGGTAAGCTACTTCTCCAAGGCATAGAACGAAAATCAGGATCGCCAACAAACTGACCAGTGGGCAATGTCGTATTAGTCAAAGCAAGTGGAAAAGTTGCCGGCTCTATAGTTGAGAAATCAGAATATCTATTTTATCTGATCTTAGTACCCCAAGTAAATCTTAGTAGCCCGTCATAGCGTAACAGAATAAAGTTTCGTGCCACGAAAAAAGTGAAAATTCGAATGCATTAGTAACCTTCTGCGCATCAACTCCTCGAGTAGGTGACGGTGAGCAACTATTTGGAATGAACGCATTGGTGAGCACCGAGATTGGTTCCGAAAGAGAATGCGTCCTCTTCCGCTGTGCACTGTCGCCGATGCAGAAGTCATCGAATCCCAGTGAAACCTGAAAATATTAACTTTACTCCTACATCTTGAGGGGTATTTCGCAGTATGGTTCTTTAATTATTGCAGCTAGCAACTTTTCCAGGTATGCCCTGACCAGTACTCCGCTGGGCAGTGGTGAACCTGCTGACGATCCTTCGTTTTCTGGAGGAATTATCAGCTTAAGGGTTAAGCTCACTCATTAAGCAGAAAATAAAACATACTCTAAATACACACTATCATCCAATTTGGAGGGCTCTAGTGTTACTGAGATGTTTTCCTGGCTTTGCAAGATCTAGCTTCGAGCAATACTAGGCTATACGCAAGGTTGGTCTCCTTCCCTCCCTACATAAATGTAATCCCTAAGTGATCTATTCGGAAAACTCCACGTGGTCGTTTCCATTGTTGGCAGATGACAAAACGTGGTCGAACAAAAGAGGCCTGATCGTTTTTACCTGTTGCGCGATTTGCATAAGCCTTTCGTGAGCTGCTTC